AAATCATGGACGAAGGGTTCTCGTCCCTAATCCACGCGACGCGTGCACTAGACCAGAGGGTGGCGGCAACCGAGGCCATATTGGGCACTCGCGGGGCATCCAGCTCAGGAGCAGGAAACCAAGGTAGACCCGAACTTTCCAATCACCACCTCACCAGAAATCCAATCTACCCCAGCAAAGACAACACGTGGAGCCACATTTCCTAATCAGGGGGCCAAAATACGTGACGTCCAGGGGTGAAAAAATGGATCCAGGCACCAGCTTCGGGGACGAAGCCTCTTGTAAGGGGGGAGAGTGTAACACCCCGTGTTACGACCCCTAAACCAAACTAATTAATTAATTACTTACCGTAAAAAGGGAATTAAAATCCATTAATTAGCTAAAAAGGGATCCACCATAGTCCATGGATTCTTATCCCTAAAACCAACCCCTTAGTCCTATAAGGAATAGAATTGGCAAGCCCATACCATTTAGACCCTAATTAGGACTCTTAGATATATAAATAGGGGCATAGGAGGCACCTAGAACCCACACCACAATAACTTTCACCACACAAGAATTCCCAAGAATTCCCATAGGAGAAATCAAGAAAGAAGAAATCTTAAAGAAAGACCCTTCATAGCCAAGGAATTTAATTAAGGCTAAGAGGTAACCCATGTCTCAACAAAACCTATTTTCCTTGTTATAATCTTCTTCTTTGGCTCCCTATTCAATACTCGTGTCTTGATGAAATCTTCTATGGTAATTGTGATATGATCTTGATAATTGTTGAGATGATTTTATGTGTGATCTTGATGATCTTGATGATGATAAGAGGATCTTGATAATTGTGTGTTAATTATTGATAAATCTTGATTTTAAAGATAAAGTATGATTTTGTGATTTAAATCTGATTAGAGCCCTAGGTTGAATTGAGAATTTGTATTGTGATGTTCTTGATATATATTTGGGAGGGAATTCGCATGCTCGGGTGATAATTATGTTTAGAAGTCATGTTAGGTTGTGTTCTACGTGATTGTTGCTTTTGATCCGTTAATTGCCTACGTGGTGTCGTTATTTACGTTTAAAAGTGTCTAAGCATGGTTTTGGGTTCCACAAAGGACCCCGGGGCGTTTATTTTGATAAAGAGTCAGTGGGGGGTAGGTGGGGGTAGGGGGATCCACCACCTACCCGCTGCCCAAAGAAACACCGCCGGCAGCGGGCAGGCGACTGCCCGCCGGGCACCCGCTGCCCGGAAATCTGTCGCCGGCGGGTGGCCCTCCACCCACCGGCTACCCGCTGGTCGTCGCCCACTCCAGGACATTGGCTTCCCCGTTTGATGTTCCCCAATCCCCGTGGTGTCCCAACGGACCCCGTTTGTCGTGCATGAGTCTAGTTTGATGTTTCGGGTGCCATTCGTAGGGTCGCAATCCCACCGACTGAGCTCGTCAAGCGGTGTGTTGGGTCGCAATCCCTAAAAGAGGATCACAGTCCACCGACTGAGCGCGTCAGCGGTGTGTAGGGTTGTAATCCGCCGTTGAAATCGTCGACGGTCTATACGGTTGGTTGCGATCAACCCCTTCATGCTGCAGTATGGCGTAGGGTGCTGCGGGGCCGTGTTAGTACTATATGTACTAACCTTCATGTTCGGGACATGCGATTGGTCCCGTGGCGCCACCAAAGTGTGCTTGTGTGACTTGAATGATGATTGAAAGTGATGTGAATGATTTGAAAGTGAACTGTGACCTTGGATACATGTTCTTTATAATATTGTCTCTATATAACTGTTTATCATTGTTTAATGTGTTTGTCCCTACCTGTTGAGTCTACTCCTGATTTTAAAGCTAGAGTCTCCTAAGTATATATCTTCCTGCTTCAAAATGGTTTTCATATATCTATATCTATATATATATATATATATATATATATATATATATATATATATATATATTTATATTTATATTTATATATATATATATATATATATATATATATATATATATATATATATATATATATATATATATCTACATATATTATATTTCAACGCGTTAGAGTGGGTTACCAGCATCATTCGCTGAACAGATATATTTGGCTTTCAGGCACAGATGAGTAGACCCCGGAGCGCGCTAGAGATCAGAAGCATAGATTAGTTAGTTTTTCTTTCGGCCTGCGTGCCATGATTATGTTTTGACATTGCTTTGAGGATATTTAATTTGTTTAGCCTGTGCATCTGAGTTCTCTAGCTCAGATGTGGCATAGCACCCCACACTCTTATGTTTGGTTTTGGGATTTAATGAGAATTTACCTTTATTATATAAGTTTTAAAAGTTTCAAAATTTCGGGGTGTTACAACGTGCGCCCCACAGGACCACCATATCGGAGTCACCACCTCAGTTAAGGGCAGACTGCAAAGGCAAAAGGCCCCTCGATCAGGAACCTGAGTCTGTTGGCTTTTATTTCAGCACAGCGTCAGGCTACCCCGCAATTCCACTACCACCGATATATGTTGTCTGGATGTGGCTTTTTAATTCACCGCACAGTGACCGGTAAGTAGAGTACCCCACATGTAGGAAGATGGATGCAACCTCATAAAATATGTGTAACAATCAGTGTATGTTTAATTTGCTAGCAATGAAGTTCTTTTCGAGCACGCTAACCGGAAAGCGATATGGGCCAACCTGCACACGCTAAAGGAGGGGACGAACGTCTCCAAAGTGATAGTAGATGCTTGGTGTCTTGTGCTGAATGCGAGAGAGAGACCAGGGGGCGGACTGCGCCTTCACACTTGTTCTTAACAACAGCCGTTACGGTATGTACCTAGAAAAGCACTAGACGGGGTAGGGGTCTGGTGCATTTTTCTATATTCTAAAATGCAATAGCATGCCTGGAATCTCGATCTGACTCCGTGATTAGCTGCAACTCTCATTTTATTACACACACCGCACTATGTGGGTTGAAATTATAGGAACTAGGCTTGAATGCTTAATAAAAATGGATTAAATTCTATCTTGGTGCACCGCCCCGTGCATCGGGCACGCGGGCAGATTAGTGCAAATGAGTCAGAGGTTGTGTATTCAGAATTATTCTGAATCTTACGCCCTGGGGAGTTCAGTTTGGCAGTATTCTAATTTCTCAAACTTTCTATCATGGCCGGTACCTAAAATCTTATACCATGTTTAGTTGCAACAACCATTTATCTTTCTGTTTTTAAAAATATTTATAGTTCAGTTGTCATTGTGATAAAATTATTATAGTCGAACCAGCTATGCAATATATCCTTCTGAGTAGCATGAAATTACCCTTGGGCAGTTCAGTTCGCCCGTATTAAAAAACATTGTAGCATGCCTAGAACCTGAATCTGACTACATGCTTTGCTCCAACTCTCATTTTATTACATTGTAATGGTGTGTGTGCAGATTGGGGCTGTGGTGAATGTTGCTGCCAGCAGAAATGAAAGGCTTTCGTGGTTCGCACGTCGTCTTGATGCGGAGGTCCACGCTGCAGGGCGCGTGGGGTTAGCCACGGTAGACATGGTAAGTTTATGATCCGTGCATAAAATGTTCTATAATATACACAATTTCGATGACATAATTGTACGTCGTGGCAGTATACTTTTGCAATAATGCTCGACGCCCGGTACTATGTTATGAGCATCAATTTCAAGCATCCCGCCTTCGACATCATTGACAGTTCACCAGCGACAGACACGGGAATTCAAATGTATGGGCGGGCTCTGGCCGAAATGGTAACCCCATGCAGTCATAGTCATTCGTCCTACCGGGTAGTACCATTGCATGCCATATTGTAATACGGTGTTGTTTGCAGATTGACCAATTGGCTACATACCTCGAAACGAAACATCAGTCAGTGCGTGCACTACAACTAAGGTCCATGACTCCCACGAGGATGCCGTTGGTATGGGGTGAAACCACGTGCGGTGCAGAATCGGCAATATATACGATGCGCCATATGGAGTCATTTGTGGGGGAGCGCTGTCCAAAATGGTACACTGGATTACAATCAGAGAACGCTGCATTGTTTCTGAACTTGCGCAAGCGTTACTTGCATAACATTCTGCTCAGTGAGACAAATATCCATATGCGTACCATTGTCACACGCGTGGGGGAGTATGATTCCATTAGGTCGGAACGGTTGCTTCATGGATAAAGACGTCCACGTCGGTACCATGGTAGGAAATGCAGAATGGGACAGTTTAAAACTTGTTAATGTTATTTTTTTGTGTATATAAAGCCTCTAGCATTAGCACGATAGTGGTGCAACACATTTTATTTTGTGGAGGGTCGTTCAGTAGCTTTTTTGACCACCCTATTCCGGTGGAGAATTTGGGTATGGTATTGATGGAATAATTGATTCAAAATACTCTACAGGGGTTAAGGTCACACGATCGCAAGGGCAAAAAATGCATTAAGCCGGCCTGTGTTTTGGGTTGTTTTGGTTCCCAATCCAAATGCTATTACAATGCCTCTATCGTGTTTGCACTGTGTAATCTTCATCTTTTTTATTACTCTTAACAATGCATATTACTACTACCCCATTGCACTTGTCATAGTTATCAGTACAACTGAATGCCTAAAGTATGACCAATTGCACACGTCCTGGACATTTAATGGATAGACCCACATGAAAAGCATAAAACATTTGGGTTCTTTGCTTTCAATTTGGTGTGCAAGAATATACATGTAGTCTAAATGGAAATTGGCCAATTAATATTAAATGACAGAGTAGCGTTTAAAATTCTCAGCTTGAGCAACGCAAAGTATGTGCCAGACACAATTTTCGACATCTACAGAAGAAGACAGTGTACCAATTGCCCGTTTTATGTGCACCACATTGGAAGAATGAATTACAAACGTAATGCATTTCAAATATGGAAAAAAAATGGTGCTGCCAAAGGGGTTACAATAAACAAAATAAATAAAACAATACCCAGGTTACAATGTCTACCAAGGGAAGATAAGGGGTGGGGGGTGTTATTCTAACGGTACGGCAGCACCCACTCACTTATACGGACAACTACGAGCATTATAACGGGCGTACTCGCCGCACACACCGCATTTATGCCCTATTTTACCACTGCTCAAAACAGCTAACTCCCGTTGGCTTTTAATACGCCTGTCGGTCCCTTTGTTTTTAGCTTGAACTGGGGGCAGGATGGTGATGGATGCCGGAGGTGCAACCCCACATAAAGCCACGATGGCAGCATTGTTACCTTTTGTAGGGGCAACGTTTGAACCAGCACTCATAAATTCCTCTTTCAAATCTTCTAATACTTGCAGCATTCGCGACTGCCGATCCGTGTTGGTGCCTACCAAGGAAGCGCATTGGTGCATTGCATTCCACATCCGGTTAGGTCCACAGTCCGTAGAAGGAACATCACAACATACACCACCTCCCACCTGCTTACACCAACGTGGAAGGACGTAGTCCAACGACAAGCTTTTAACATGTGCATCTTTGAACACCAAGAACATGTGCCGGCAAACTAACCCCAACCGCTCGAATAGCTTGCAGCTACAGGATGCATGATTCCCTACCGGGGTATATTGCACGGTGTAGGTAGCCGTGCGCTCTCCTCTTATGTTGTAAGTAATGACCTCCCCCTCCTCACGGATACCCACCACTCGACAATAGAAACACCCAGCTTCAATTTCTTGTTGTAGCTCATAAAAAATTGTTATCTTGAAAATCTGTGCCAAATACGATTCTAGTGCTAAGGGGGTCTTGAAATCGGGCAAGTACCCCTCGCTCTCGGCGTTTAACTTAGATTGGTTGTAACGTTGAGTCTCCAGTACACTCTCGAACTGCACATAGAACTCCACCAGGCTGAGGTGGGGCCGACAACACTTCCCGTAAACATTGTTCTCTGCTTCAGATCGGGATGTAGTGCGCAATAACCCACTCATGGGCAGATCTATAAAATATGCAGGGACCCAGAACTCCCTTTCAATATACAGCTTGGTGAACCAGCGGTGGGTTGCTAGATGGTACTTTTCCATTAACGAATGCCATTGCTCTTCGAACTTGCCTACACTGATGGTTTCATTCCAAACAATACCGTTCAGCTTATTGCGGAAACCTACGTCTTTTACCATGTCGGGCCCAATTTTCTCGTTTACCTTTGTCATAATGTGCCACATACAGAAACGACGGCGGTAATCTGACAGAACCTGAGCAATAGCAATCTGCATAGCCGGGTCTTGATCAATGATCACGCACGTTGGGACAGCACCCATTGCAGTTTTAAACCTCTGTAATAGCCATGAATACGATTCAACATCCTCTGTGCATTGGTGTAATTAAGGAAAAAGTGGTGTGCACCTGTTAAGCTGTGCCGAAAACACACAAAACTAAAAAACTATCAGTTTAATTGCAACAAAATCATAAAACCCAGCGCAGATCAATTGTCGATACGCACCACAGTGTTCAAAGCATGCACTGGTCGTACGGTCCAAAAAAAAAAACACGTACGACATGTTTAGCGGTCATACCTGTTTGTACCGTAAGTAGCATCAAATGAGACCATGTCGCCAAATACAGAAAAATTGCGACGACCATTGGGGTCAGCCGAGAAAAGTCGTGCAACCCGGTTTTCTTCATCCAAGTAGTAATCAAAAAAGAAGTTCTTGCAAACAGCACGCTTCGTTTTAAACTTCTCTATAATCATTTCACCATCTTTGCCATCAACGTAAACCTGGAGGTCCCGTTTGAAATTATGAAACTCAGTATCTGTCACGCCTACATTTGCATACGATTTGGTGACCTCCCTGTATAGCTTGAAACCTTTGGACGAACCAATATTCGCCCTAACACAGTTTGCTGCAAACGCCTGATGTGCCACGTCCAACTTCCGATTAACTCTCATAAATAATTTCGATGCGTCGGAACACATACGATGGCTATGCCCCTCAACAAACACAGTTATCTCAAACTCCTCACTGCTCACCTTCCTTAAACAGATCCTAGCTCTGCACTCAACCCTATTAGATGTCCGTCGTCTTCGTTGCTTCTTCTTACCACCACTATCACCGTGTGCACCGGTGGGCTTGCTAATACCACCACCCTTAATGCCTTCCCGGCTACATACCAAGTAACGCATCACGGACTTCACATCACGATCCCGTTTCACGGTGTGTAGCCGCACATCAAACCCACAGACCCGTGCATAGTTTGTGTAGAAGTCGATGCCTAAATCCAATGTGCTAAAACGCCGCCCAACCACAGGGGTGATTTCACTGCCAACATCCGGGCACCAAATTGAGGCTCGCTCTGCTAGTAATTCACGCGCACCATGTGGGACGTGCTCCTCGCCCACCTCGCTCGCAAGGCCCTCTATGGACGAAAACACAAACATATTACGGGGCTGGAAAACATAACAATAAACAAATCTTACCACTCTAATGGGTCCATCGCCAACAACCAACTTATAATAATGGGAGTGCAAACATAATATGTCATTCAACAATCCCACCATGATTACAAGAATCGAATGAAAGAGCATTGTATTACAACATATAATAAACAACCATCTAACATTAATTATATCATCTAAGTAGCCTGAGAAATGATATTGAAGAGGAGATTAGTGATCAAAAAAATCAAACAGCATAGTGACAAAGGGCAGAGGTATTATTTGTCTCATGCCAGATCTTCCCTAGAGCAACTATTATACCTTTGCCATGTAAAATCATAGAAAGAGTACTGGAATTAAGCTTTCATCCATCAAGTTTTGTAATCCAAGGTTTAAGAATGTAAAGGGATAGGGTGGTTCTCTAGTGCACACCACAGTTTAAATGTGAACTTGTGCACCATCATGCTTCATTGATTTGTGATGATCTGATGGCTCTAAATTACGGTGAACTCTTTCGTTGTACCTGCGTAACACAGTAGCGTAGTGCAATTTCGTAAATTACTATTTTCTAATTTTGAATTACCGGTTCCATACGCCTTCCCGTGCATGTTTCACAGCGGAAGTTTGCGATTGGCGGTAGGATACGGAAACGCAGGCGAATAGTTCCGGCTACCGTATCGGCGAGTGTAGTGTTATTCGTACGCCCGGCGATTACATCTCCATTGTTCAGTCCCCATCCCAATGCACGATCCTTCTTGTGGATTGCAACGGCCATCCGTAACAGCAGGCACATACGCGATGAGCGTCACGGTAACTCCGGAGTTACCAGGTTAGCATTACTGTGTCGCATACCATCCGCCATGCGTTTTAGTCGTAGACGCATACATGCATCATGCATCAGGGTGTCCTGCCATGCGTTTAAGTCGTAGACGCATACTATATGTTGAAACCAGTTGCATACGTAATTTACATACGCGCCTTCCACCCCGCTGGCTTTGACATGAAACCAGTTGAGTCTACCACTTGCTGGGACCCAACAGATCCACTGTAGTTGTTGGCAGTGTGCTGGTCTCAGTGTCATCCACAGATACGTATATATGTTTTCGGATTTGATCAGTAGATAATACACTCATGGGTGTTCATCACGGTTAGGCTTTTAAATCCTCTGCATGTATTTGTATCGTGTTGGCTGTACTGCAAACCTGAGTTATGTTGATAAGGTTGATTATCTGTTGTAATAAAATGTTGTGGTACACCATTCGCACAGATATAAAGAACAAAAGCACTTCTTATTCTTCTTGAAACTAATATTACAGTGCACTACCAGGCCTAATACATAGTGCCGTTACAAAATATAAGCGAATCATATAAACTACGAAGCAAAATGCGACCCCAAACTTTTCATTTTACACATGACATACCATGCACCCAAGTTTATTGAAGTTAACCCCCCACACACAGCCATGGTTACGCTATCAAACAGCCCCCATTTCCACTCCCGAATCCACATTAGATTAGTGCATTACAAAATATATGTGAATCATATAACTACGGACACAAAAAGCAACCTCCGACTCCCCATTCTACACATGCCAAAATCTAACTGCAAAACCATGGCAACAGTTCATATGTGATACTAGTTTCAGCGTATTACAACATATAATCAACCTTAGCATCAGGCTCAAAACAAAAACAAAAAAAAAAACAAAAAAAAAAAAACAAACAAACAAACAAAAACAAAAACAAAAACAAAAAAAAAAAAAACAAACAAAAAAACATTCTCTTCAACACGTCAGTATACAGCCGCAAAACAAATTTGCAATTCCAATCAAGAAATTATCCACCCTAGCTCCAACACACCAGCATAACGTGAAACACACCACGTAAATTTGCAGACCACAAATGCACAAATTAGTGAGCTGACCCGGAGTAAATTTCAACTATACACAACAACAAACGATGAGCAAACGAACTAACCTGCCACATCCGACCGGTGCGATGCCTGATGCCTCGCAGCAACCATAGAAGCTATCCCGGAAGTAGCCCTGCCGACACCCCCAACAACCGTCGAATTCGTCGTACAGTCGCCAGGACGCCGTCTGTGTGCCCGGGACCCCGCAGCCACCCTGCGCAGCCCATGCAACGGCGGAGTCGCAAGCGACAATGGCCGCCTCGGCCTACCACTCGATTGAGTCATCACGCTACCGGAAACGCACGCTTCGTTGGAGAGTGCAGGGCACCGCCACAATTGGCTTGTCAAGCTGGGGAGTCGGCTAACACAACGACATTAAAACGCAAAACAAAACCCCCAAAACGCACGTCAATCGAAATTACCCTCCCGCCCCTGGCTAGTCCATCAGTGCGCTATAGTGTAGCTGATAGTGTAATTGGCAATGCACTCGACTACCGTGCACCCTCAATTATGACCACTGATCAAACAATGTGCACGACTTGAGATAGTGCACAAATGCACATGATAATGAGAATGCACATCTGAACAGTTTTAAATATATATATATATATATATATATATATATATATATATATATATATATATATATATATATATATATATATATATATATATATATATATATATATATATATACCATTCACATGCAAACACCCTAAAAATACAAACATGTGAACGTATATCGTGCAACACCTAAATGCGGGTGTGCACACATCCGTAGTATGTATGTGTGAATCCACAGTATTTGGGTCAGTGTGCACACGTCCATGAATGACAGTGCACACAGGCGGACACAACACACAAAAACATAAAAACTAATCACAACCTTAGATATCCAAAATCCAACGATTCAGAAATGTCCACACGTTTGTGTTTTAAGCCATGTTTTTACATGAATGTAATTATATATATATATATATATATATATATATATATATATATATATATATATATATATATATATATATATATATATATATATATATATAATCCGGATCAGGTGAGGACCTAATCTTAGGTGAGGACGTGAGGACTAATCTTGTGCGTTTGTTTTTTTATTTGGATGGTCCAGATTTGAGTTATTGAGATGACATGGATTGATCTTTTTTGTTATATTTGGATTGTCGTGTATATGTATAAATGCCTGGGTAGTACGATTGTGCATTCGTGTGTGCTGATTGTGCAACCTAGTGTTGTAAGTTGTGCACTATAGGCTAGGGAGTTGTGCATTATAGCACATAATTCAATGCATCGTAGAACATTGGATGTTCACTGTATGATTTTTTGGCGGGGTTTGAATGCACAACAATGAAGTTATTGATGCACAACACTCAGTATAGGAATGCACAACACTCAGTATAGGAATGCACAACATTTTGTATAGGAATGCACATCTTTTAATAAGACTGATTTACCCTAAATATATATATTTTAATATTTTAAAGGGATTTGTTTTCTTAATCCGTGTGATTTGTTTCTTTTAATCTCAATCATACATCATTCTGATTTAATGGTCTAGATTAGTCCTCACGTCCTCACCTAAGATTAGGTCCTCACCTGATCCGGACCCTATATATATATATATATATATATATATATATATATATATATATATATATATATATATATATATATATAAGTAGATAATTAATTAATATAGTGTTTGCATGTAGGGTGTCATGCTTCACTGCTGGACAACTACGAAGAATTCCCGCACACATTATCACCAGCACAAGACCAAGAACACGAGCTAGTACCAGTTGAGTTGAGTCATATCGTGGGAGGTGTTGAACATCAGAAACAAAAGGGTTTCAAGACATGTCAAATATGCAAGTGTTGTTGGTCACGAAACAATTGCGTCAACGTCCCATGTTGTTATGCCCTCAGATGCAACATTCCTAATAGGCCTGCTG